TTTATTTTTACAATATAAACAAAAAAAGAATGAAAATGTTGAAAAAAACCCAGTTTTTTTTCTTTCTGCTGTAAAACATATGCAATTAAAAAAAAAAAAAACCAAAAAACAATAATAATAAGAATATTATAGTGTCTACAAACTATGATGTATATAGTGGAATTTTTTTTATATGCTACTAATGGCGGTGATCAGAAACTTATAGTGGGCTATAGTGCGTAGGGCAATCTGACATTAACTGACACTGGATGGGAACTGACTAACACTGACATCACCACGACACTCTTACAGTGATTAGTGATAATACTATACACTGTCACTGTACTAATGGCACTGGCAGGGAAGGGGTTACCATCTCGAGGTAATCAAGGGTTAAGTGAGAGCCTAACAAGTGTTAGTGTGTGTAGTATGTGCTACTTTTTACTAAAAATCTCATTGTTCCTTGTTTGCAGGGAGAAGAAACAAGGAGATCATTCCCTCTGCACAGAGCCCTGTGTTGATTGTGTAGGCCATTCCAATAGAGGAGCTACTGTAGCTCACATTGATGAAAAGAATAATGCTGGTTCCAATAGAAAGGTGTCAGAACACACAGTGCATCACAGTGCATAGCCGAAGACAAGTAGGGTGTCAAACAGGGGCTGGTAGGGTGTCAATCAGGGGCGGACTGACCATTTGGAAACTCGGCACTGCCCGAAGGCGTGGGGTCAGTAGGGGGCCCCATGAGATGCCCCTGGTACCTTTTTCATAGGCTTTTTTGAGTTTGGCCAAGGACACAGGGGCCCCATGATCCCCTTTTGCCCGGGGGCCCCATGAGTTGTTAGTCCGCCCCTGTTGTCAATGCTGACCCGTGTCCACAGCCAAAAGTGCTTAAAAAAAGGGCATGTGAGCATCAAAACTGGAAGCAGATGGTTTGGTCTGATGAATTGTATTTTCCTTTTCACCATGTGGATGGCTGTCGCTTACCCAGGGAAGAGATGGCAATAGGATGAATTATGGGAAGAAAGCAAGCTGGTGGAGGCAGGGTGATGCTTTGAGCAATGTTCTGCTGGGAAACCTTGGATCCTGGTGTTCATGTAGAAGTTACTTTGGAATCCATGCCTCGATGGGTCAGGGCTGTTTTGGAGGCAAAAGGGGGACCTACTCAATATTAGGTGGGTGGTCATAGTGTTAAAGGATGATTAATGTAAAATTTCACATTATTAGATGCTATTGATTGTATGATAGTTCCTTATCACTTTTGTATGCTGTATATAATTTGAACAAGCTCTTCCCCATTTTCACAGAGGGATGCTACATTGCTAAGGTTGTAATGGAGGAGATTTTAAGGTATACTGTGGTGGTAAGGAGCCTGGTGTTGTGCACCAGCATTAACCATCCCCCATTGACCCCCCCCCCCCCCACACACACACACACACACACCACATGTTCTGAATGAGAGGGGGGCACTCCTTCACAATCAGAATATGGGATGAACATAAACTGCCTTCATCAATAGCCTTCAAACACAGACCAATGTTTGCTGTATCCTGGATCCCCTTTGGCCAGCTCTGAAGCTTACAGATATCAGATCCACATTTGAAAAAAATACATTCCTTAAAAGAAAAGCTCAGGATTTAAAAAAAAAATGGCATACATACTCACCTAGGTGAATGCAACATTGATCTGATGTATCTAAGACCAAGACCACTGATCTCTCAGTTCTCAGTCTTCAGTGAGCAGAGCCCCTCACTGGTGCTCACTGAAAGACCGGGTTGTGCAGGGGGCATGAGTGGCTGGTTTAGGCTTTAAAGTTGAGATCTCTTCAGAGCCTGGACCAGCTCAGTGACATCAGCCGACAGCAGACAAAAGCCTGCTATTGGCTGAAAACGGGTCACAGGATTGCAGAACTTTGACCCTGCTTCTCCTTTAATACTGAAAACTCACTATAGTAGGATCTGTGGAGTGTGCATTAGTGAACCTTTTGTTGCTTCTGTAGCACATAAATGAATAAATCTTCCAGTAATGCTATTACTAGGCTGCAGATAGAGGGAGCTCTAATGATCTGTAGTGTGACTTCAGGAGACTAACAACCAACAAGCTCACATTAAACTCGGAATGAGCTAGTGTTTTCTGTTCTCTTCTAGATACAGCTTAGTCACATTTGATTTATGCTATCTTTGTTCAGTTTTGTGTCTGTTCTGATACTCACTTTCTCTGTATAGTGTCCTATATGTTAGTAATGGTAACTCTTTAACACAAATTGATTTGCTTTTCCATGTGATCTGCACTGCCACTACAAAGAAAGTAATTATCTGTATAACGTGATCCATTTCAGTTTGATATATTAAACTAGGAATGAGCAAGTGAGCCACATGTGTTTTCTGTTCTCCTAATTATAAAGATACAGCAGGCAGCAGCATCTTTGTCATACCTCACACTCAGATCACCTATAATCCTGTAACATTTCTTGCACTGTTCTCACAAGATAAACAGTCATTCAGAGTTCTGTCAATGGCTGGCTGGTGCTGGAAGGCTGGGAACACTTACTATGTAATTTTATAAAGAATTCTAAATAATTTACAGCAGTTTTATTTTATTTTATTTATAAACAATGAAAGTTGCCATAATATAGTGAAAGGAGTTATAGATTATAAAATAAGGTTTTTTTTATTTAAAGCTGACACAAAAAGTTATCCTTATGTACACAGTAAGCATGAAATTGTGTACACTTTGTAAACACCGAGATATTTGACAGGCAATTTCTTCAAATTACCCATAAACATAGAATGGATGTTAAAAATTAATAGTGTCACATTGACAAACCTCATGCTTTAGTTTTACACAGTGGAAAATCTTCCAAGCAATTTACAAGCAATTTTCCAGATTGAGTTTCTTCTGCTTCCAATGTCAGCTGAAAACCACTGCTTGCTGAGAAATTTTCAGGTGATTTAAAGATCTCATATGTAAAGAAAGAGAGAGCCACAAATTACTGCTTAACAGGGCATGCACAGTGGGTTGAAAGTGATATGTTTTACACAAGTACAACTAAAGACTCCTGCAAGGCAGTCTAAACAAGTATACAGTTACTGTGTGATACACAGCTTCACAACCCTATTAAAGTAAACAGAAAACTACCTCCTTCATTTGTGTCTCACACTAGACATGTACACACTGGAAATTTTTATTTTGTTAATTTTCGGATGCATTCGTTTATTGAAGAATTTTGTTTTGTCCTATTTGTTATGTTGGCCCTGTGCATTTTCAGAATTTGTTTCGTATCGGCATTCGTTTTGTATATTTGTTGGTCTGGGTGGAATAAAACCCGTGCAGTTTTTCCAGAAGATTGATGTCTACATATCTACTGTATCTCTCTCTCTCTTTCTCTCTCTCTCTCTTTTTTAAATATTTTATTCTATCTTTTCATGTGACAACACTGAAATGACACTTTGCTATAATGTAAGTAGTGAGTGTACAGCTTGCATAACAGTGTAAATTTGCTGTCCCCTCAAAATAACTCAACACACAGCCATTAATGTCTACACCACTGGCATCAAACGTGAGTACACCCCTAAGTGCAAATGTCCAAATTGGGCCCAAAAGTGTCAATATTTTGTGTGGCCACCATTATTTTCCAGCACGGCCTTTAAACTCTTGTGCATGGAGTTCACCAGAGCTTCATAGGTTGCCACTGGAGTCCTCTTCCACTCCTCCATGACGACATCACGGAGTTGGTGGATGTTAGAGACCTTGCACTCCTCCACCTTCTGTTTGCTCAATAGGGTTTAGGTCTGGAGACATGCTTGGCCAGTCCATCACCTTTACCCTCAGCTTCTTTAGCAAGGCAGTGGTCTTCTTGGAGGTGTGTTTGGGGTTGTTATGTTGAAATACTGCACTGGGCCTAGTCTCCGAAGGGAGGGGATCATGCTCTGCTTCAGTATGTCAGAGTACATGTTGGCATTCATGTTTCCCTCAATGAACTGTAGTTCCCCAGTGCCGGCAGCACTCATGCAGCCCCGGACCATGACACTCCCACCACCATGCTTGAATGTAGGCAAGACACACTTGTCTTTGTACTCCTCACCTGGTTGCCGCCACACACGCTTGACACCATCTGAACCAAATAAGTTTATCTTGGACTCATCAGACCACAGGACATGGTTCCAGTAATCCATGTCCTTAGTCTGTTTGTCTTCAGCAAACTGTTTGCGGGCTTTCTTGTGCATCATCCTTAGAAGAGGATTCCTTCTGGGATGACAGCCATGCAGACTAATTTGATGCAGTGTGCAGCGTATGGTCTGAGCACTGACAGGCTGACAACCCCCCACACACCCCTTCAACCTCTGCAGCAATGCTGGCAGCACTCATACGTCTATTTCCCAAAGACAACCTCTAGATATGACGCAGAGCATGTGCACTCAACTTCTTCGGTCGACCCATGGCGAGGCCTGTTCTGAGTGGAACCTGTCCTGTTAAACCGCTGTATGGTCTTGCCCACCATGCTGCAGCTCAGTTTCAGGGTCTTGGCAATCTTCTTATATCATAGGCCATCCTTATGTAGAGCAACAATTCTTTTTTTCAGATCCTCAGAGAGTTTTTTGCCATGAGGTGCCATGTTGAACTTCCAGTGACCAGTATGAGAGAGTGAGAGTGATAACAGCAAATTTAACACACCTGCTCCCCATTCACATCTGAGACCTTGTAACACTAAAGAGTCACATGACACCAGGGAGGGAAAATGGCTAATTGGGCCCAATTTGGACATTTTCACATAGGGGTCTACTCACTTTTCTTGCCAGCGGTTTAGACATTAATGGCTGTGTGTTGAGTTATTTTAAGGGGACAGCAAATTTACACTGTTATACAAGCTGTACACTCACTACTTTACATTGTAGGAAAGTGTAATTTCTTCAGTATTGTCACATGAAAAGATAGAATAAAATATTTACAAAAATGTGAGGGGTGTACTCACTTCTGTGAGATACCGTATATATATATATATATATATATATATATATATACACACAAACTATATTGCCAAAAGTATTTGGCCAGCCCTCCAAATCATTGGATTCAGGTGTTCCAATCACCTCCATGGCCACAGAGATATAAAATCAAGCACCTAGGTATGCAGACTGCTTCTACAAACATTTGTGAAAGAATGGGTCGCTTGCCGAAGCTCAGTGAATTCAAGCGTGGTACCGTGATAGGTTGCTACCTGTGCAATAAGTCTTGTTACTTGTTACTAAATATTCCACGGTCAACTGTTAGTAGTATTATGACAAAGTGGAAGCAACTGGGAACAACAGCAACTCAGCCACAAAGTGGTAGGCCATGTAAAATGGCGGGGTCAGCTCATGCTGAAGCGCACAGTGCGCAGAAGTCGCCAACTGACTGCAGAGTCAATAGCTAAAGACCTCCAAACTTCGTGTGGCCTTCAGATTAGCACAACAACAGTGCGGAGAGAGATTCAAGGAATGGGTTTCCATGGCTCAGCAGCTGCATCCAAGCCTTACATCACCAAGTGCAATGCAAAGCATCGGATGCAGTGGAGTAAATCACGCTGCCACTGGATTCTAAAGCAGTAAAGACATGTTTTCTGGAATGACCAATCACGCTTCTCTGTCTGGCACAATTTCATGCTCGCAACATTGTGGGAACAGTTTGGTGATGGTCCCTTCCTGTTCCAACATGACTGCACACCAGTGCACACAGCTAGGTCCATAAAGACATGGAAGAGCGAGCTTGGGGTGGAGGAACTTGCCTGGCCTGACCTCAACCTGATAGAACATCTTTGGGATGAATTAGAGTGGAGACTGCCAGCCAGGCCTTCTCATCCAACATCAGTGCCTGACCTCACAAATGGTCTTCTGGAAGAATGGTCAAATATTTTCCGATAGACACACTCATAAATCTTGTGGACAGCCTTCCCAGTAGAGTTGAAGCTGTCATAGCTGCAAAGGGTGGGCTAGCTCAATATTGAACCCTATGGACTAAGACTGGGATGCCATTAAAGTTCATGCATGTGTAAAGCCAGGCATCCCAATACTTCTGGCAATATAGTGTGTGTATATATATATATATATATATATATATATATATATACAGTAAAACACTCCATAAACTGTTGGCACTATATCAATCCTGAATTTAATAATAATATTCAATATATTATTGAATTGGAGAGATTTGAATCGGAGGGATTCAATATTTTTGGACACTAGTCTAACCCACCAAAATAAATGGCATAAATGGATTGGACAATATTTACTGGAGCCATGTGCATCTGAATTAATGAATGGAACGAAATTCAGATCTGTTCGTTATCCAAATCCAAATTATCAAAAAAATTCTAAAATTTAATTAAACTTCTCATGGGCCCAAACTACTGGTGAATTATGTGAAGTCATCCTAATGAAACAAATGTATTTGTTAATTTGTTATAACTTTTCTTAGGATTCAGTGACATTCGCTACTATATCCATTCAGAGATACGTATACATCCGAATCTCCGAAAATGAAATTTTCGCCCGAAAAACGTGAAGTGGGAGGGTTTCAGCAACAGAGGCAGTACTATTATATGGAAAGCAGTGGGCAGGTATAAATGTGGCCAGGTATTGATTGACAAGCTACAGGCTTGTGAATTAGCAGGAACAGGGCTGATAGCAACTCCCCAGGCAACATTTTTCATCCCACTGTAGAGCAAGCAGGCACAGCTACATGAGAATGACAACTCTGCTCTGAATTCAAGAGTAGTGTAACATTGTTGGCACACCACACAGAGATCTGCATTAGATGGACTTCACCGGCAGGATCAGCAGTGATTTTCCACATGGGACTAAGAAAAAAAAAAAAGAAGTGCATATACAACATATATACAGAATCGATTTGTGAATAAACTTTAGTCTTGATCACTCAATTCATTTCAGTTCCTATATATACTGCATTCTGGAGCAGATGTTAAAGAAAAGAATGAAAATACTATGTATACTGTATGTACCTGTATATATACTGAATATAGTTGTATACTGCTTGCATATATATGTGTGTATTTACATCATAATTTTACTGTTCAAAAGTCCTTTGTAACATGTATGACATTTTTAAAAACAGTGGTGACATTCCAGCAGTGCCAAAAAGTCTCTTGCAATATGTCATTGGTAAAAGTGGCTTTTGGATGTGATTGAAGCTGCAAACTCTGCCAGTGAAATAGTGACACAACCATGCAACTCATTTGACAGGCAGTTTGAAAAGCAGAATCAGGTTGAAGGCCATGGATATGGAGTTGATACAAGTCCACAGAAAAAAACAAGTGCAGGTTTCTAGTGCAAAGTATTGTGAAAACGATCCTGAGTTGTCTTTGTGCATTAAAGTGGTAGTAAACTCCCATGGGACACTTGTATCCATAGGTAAGCCTATAATAAAGCTTACTTGTAGGTACAAGAAATATCTCCGGTCAGGAGATATCCTATGTCTCTGCAGCCTGACTCTCTTGGCTCTGAGGAAGAGGGTTGCCCTCGAAACGCGTAAGTAAATTTTTGGTTCTTGGACAGAGGTTTTCAAGCATCGGAGGGTCTCATTGATCACTGTACCAAGTGGCTGTAGCCTGATATGCGATCTTTTATACACTGTGAGTATGGTTTTATCATTATTTTAATAAACTTACCTTGAAATAATGCACTAGGCTGGTGTACTCTCTGTTTGTCTCTACGGCTGGTGACATCACTGGTGCACATGCACTCTTACGGAACGGCATACTCGTGCTTGTCAGTGCTGCATCTGTTCTGCCTCTCCTTGCCTGCCAAGGAACACTCAACATTTCCAGGTCTGTATGCAGCCACTAGGTATGTGCATAACAAAACATTTGCTTTGTTTCATTTTGATTCATTATATAAATAATTTTGTTTCGTTAAAATTGTTTAATTTGTTTTATGTTGTTTTGTTTTTTTGGGTTTTTTTTTAAATCCAATCTTTTTTTTTGATTGAAAAATTAAGGGAAATACAGGAGCAAAGAGCAGGGCAGTAGACAATCATACAAATGGGTACAAAAAAATGAATATTGTTCATATACAGCATATACATTAGGGTTACATCTTTATGGGCAGCACAGTGGCTAAATGGTTAGAACTTCCGCCTGGCAGTACTAGGGGTCGTTGGTCCGAATCCCAACCACGGCACCTCCTGCCTGGAGTTTGCATGTTCTCCCTGTGCCTGCGTGGGTTTCCTCCGAGTACTCCAGTTTCCTCCCACACTCCAAAGACATGCTGCTCGGTTAATTGGCTCCTGTCTAAATTGTCCCTAGTATGTGTATGTATGTATGAATGTAAGTTAGGGACCTTAGATTGTACACCCCTTGAGGGTTAGGGACTGAAGTGAATGTACAATATACAGTTGCAAGAAAAAGTATGTGAACCCCTTGGGATTACGTGGAGTTTCATGAATTGGGCATAAAATGTGCTCTGAACGTCATCTAAGTCACAACAATAGAAGAACACAGTCTGCTGAACATAATACTACACAAACATTAGATGTTGCCATGGTTTAAATTGCACATAACATGTAAACATTCACAGTGCAGGGAGGAAAAAGTATGTGAGACCCTAGCTTAATGACTTCTCCCAGAGCTAATTGGAGCCAGGAGTGAGCCAACCTTGACTCCAATCAGTGTGATGATATTGGATGTGTTGCTGACAGCTGTCCTGCCCTTAAAAAACACACACCTGTTTTGGGTTTACTGGTTTCAAGAAGCACTGTCTGATGTGAACCATGCCTCGCAGAAAAGAGCTCTTAGGAGACCTACGATCAAGAATTGTTGACTTGCATGAAGCTGGAAAGGGTTACATAAGTATCTCCAAAAGCCCTGATGTTCATGTGTCCATGGTAAGACAGACTATCTACAAATGGAGAAAGTTTAGCACTGTTGCTACTCTCCTAGGCGTGGTTGTCCTGTAAAAATGACTGCAAGAGCACAGCGCAGAATGCTGCATGAGGTAAAGAAGAATCCCAGAGTGTCAGCTAAAGACCTACAGAAATCTCTGGCACATGCTAACATTTTTTTGTTGACACCTCTACAATAAGGAAAATATTAAACAAGAATGGAGTACATGGGAGGACACCACGGAGGAAGCCATTGCTGTCCAAAAAGAATATTGCAGCACGTTTGAAGTTTGCAAAAGAGCACCTGGATGTTCCACAGCATACTGGCAAAATATACTGTGGACAGATGAAACCAAGATTGAGTTGTTTGGGAAGAACACACAACACTATGTGTGGAGAAAAAAAGGCACAGCACACCAACATCAAAACCTCATCCCCACTTTAAAACATGGTGGAGGGAGCATCATGGTTTGGGCTGCTTTGCTGCCTCAGGGCCTGGACGGATTGTTGTCATCGATGGGAAAATGAATTCCAGAGTTTATCAAGACATTTTGCAGGAAAACGTACGACCATCTGTCCGCCAACTGAAGCTGCGCAGAGGATGGGTGATTAACAGGACAATGACCCAAAGCATACAAGTAATTCAACAAAACAATGGCTGCAACAGCACAGAATACGCCTTCTGGAGTGGCCCAGTCAGAGTCCTGACCTCAACCCGATTGAAATGCTGTGGCATGACCTTGAGAGAGCGATTCACACCAGACATCCCAAGAATATATTGCTACACTGAAACAGTTTTGTGAAGAGGAGTGGTCCAAAATTACTCCAGATCGTTGTGCAGGTCTGATCTGCAACTACAGGAAACGTTTGGTTGAGGTTATTGCTGCCAAAGAAGGGGTCAACCAGTTATTAAGTCCAAAGGTTCACATACTTTTTTCTCCCTGCACTGTGAAAAGTTATGTGCAATTAAACCATGGCAACTTCTAATGTTTGTTAGTATTATGTTCAGCAGACTGTGTTCTTCTATTGTTTGTGACTTAGATGACGTTCAGAGCACATTTTATGCCCAATTCATGCAAAACTCCACGTAATCCCAAGGGGTTCACATACTTTTTCTTGCAACTGTTATGTAAAAGCGCTGCGTAAATTGACGGCGCTATACAAGTACCTGAAATAAAATAAAAATAAAATAGCCCTTTG